GGGCGCCGCCGCACGGCCGCCGCCCCGGCAGCAGCAGCTGGGCCACGGTGGCCATCGCTCGCCCGCTCGCTCGCTCGCGCCCCGGCTCGCTCCGCCTCCCTTGCCCCGCCGCCGGGACTGGAGGCGGGGCGGAGGCGCCGCCGCGGCTGCCTCTTGGAGAAGAGGGGCGCGCCGGCGCAGGCGCGGCCAGCCGAGCCGAGCCTCCTCCGGGCTCCCCCGCGCAGCTGCACCGGGGACTGCAGAGAAGGGCGCCTGCCGCGGCAGGGCTTCCTTCCCAAGTGGCTGAGGCGGGCGTTGGGGACGGGGCTTTAAACACTACGCCTGCTGCTTTCTTGCAGAAGCAGCTCGGCTGCAGCGCTCCGAGGTGTGCGCTTCCCAGGATGTGGTTGGTACCGAAAATATCCGGGGCTCAGAATCCAAAAAACAGATTGGGTTCAAATGCCGATGGACATGTGCACGAATTTCTGTGTGCTCGTAGCTTGAAAGGACCCTGTCTCCTGAGGACAGCCGCTTTGTTCAAAGAGTCATATGGGCAGGGGAGAGGAGGGCATACCCGGGGAAAACCCTTCAGGCAATGGGACCCAAGATGAAGGTGAAGCCCATGTGGGCCAAAACCCAGCTTACCCAAGGCGATGTGATGCAACAAAGATCACCTGGGGCCCTGGACGTTTATTTCAGCAAATCCCAGAGATTCAGGGTTCCAGCCCTAGTGGGTGTATCTCCCAACATCACCTCTTGCCGTCTACTTGGAAGTAAACCCTGTTGTTTTAAAGGGCCTTATTGACAGTGCTAAGTACGGCTGCAGCGCTGCAGGAGCTTATTCAGCAAGTGTGCCTATAATTGTGGTTTTCCCATACAAATCAAGAAGAGCCACTTGCAAGAAAAAATGGATGGAGTCACCTGGAACTCACAGCATGTATGTAAAGCATTCAGTTCTGTCAACAATGCTTTAGTTGAAATTCTTTTTTCTTTTATATTGGTCACATGCACAGAGTGCCTGCAATGGCTGCATGTCGAAACTGTTTAAATCTGTGTATGAACCATGAACTGTCACCACATCTGTAAATGGTGGCTGAGACATGCTGGGGTGTACAGACAATATCCATCTAGATAGGCGCAGGCCTGCTTTGCCAGGAGCGCCATACCGTGTGTCTGGCCGGAGTCCATTGCCAGTGCATGGCAAGTGCAATCCGAGGCAAGTTTAAACTGAAGAAAGCCTACACTTCCCAGGATGCTGGGCCGGTAGCCTCTCTTTAGTCTAGGACTGCACGTCTAAGTAGATGCATGTCTCATGAATTCATTGTTAGGTGCTATTGCATGATTTTCTATGCAAATTGAGACCACAAAATACCAATATCTACCAACATACTGGGAGTGGTAAGCTTTTTTAAGGCTAAGCATGCATAGAGTTTCACCTTTAATGAATTAAATGCGCTGTATCTGTCTTGAACCTGTTGCTAGATAGTTTAAGGCCTACTCCTAGGCAAGTTTAGGCAGTACAACAGGCCTACCACTCCCAGAATGCCCCGGGCAAGCCGCCTTGCTCTCAAGTTGCGTCACTCGCAGCGCTGCCCTCCCCCACTCTGCCGAGCGGGCGGTGTCGCCCACTCGTGACGCCATCGCAGCGCGCCAAGGAGGCCTCCCCGCGTCGCGCTTCTCTCGAGGCGCCCCATGCGCATGCGCGGCGCCGGCGGTGGCCAGGGAGGAGGAGGAGGGCGGATGATGGCGGCTGCCTCGCTGTGGAAAGGGCTGGTCGGGGTCGGGCTCTTCGCCCTGGCGCACGCGGCCTTCTCCGCCGCGCAGCGTGAGTGCCCCCCTCCTGTCCTCTCGACGAAGGGTGTCGGGGGGTGTCTAGGCGGGTCCGGGGTGCCCTCCCGCAGACTTCCTCCTCAGGAGATGTGGGCCGAGGGGGGAGGCCTGGGCGTGCGGGGCGCGGAGCTAGAGGAGCTTCTGGGTCGGAAGCAGAGAGCGGCGACTCCCAGGAGTACCCGGGAGTCGCCCATTCGGGCTGTGATGCCGCGGAGGGTCCTGAGGGCACGCCGGGGGCGCTTCCAGAGGGGTGACCCTCCTCGTTGGTTGTGGTAGAAGCAGCAGAGCGTCTTCCGCGCCTTGGACCAGCCTTTTCCCGCTGCCGCTGGCACATGCCCCGCGGGTGCCCTGCGGAGGTGTTGTCCCGCAGCTGCCATCAGCCCCAGCCGGTATGGCCATGGTCAGGCATCCTGGGACTTGTAGTCCAAGGAGCTGGAGTTTCCTAGGTCGGGGATCCCCCGTATCAAATATATTTAGGATCCAACATTTGAAGATGTCCAGGTTAATGTATTTATTATCTTTATACCCCACTCTGTTCCATGGGGGAGCTCAAGGCAGCTCCTTGTTTCCAGGTGAGCTTACCTCCAAGCACTGACTGATACAGCAGAGTTGCAGCAAAGCAGCTACCTTGCATTTTGACAGGAGTTTCAGCCTTTCACTACTTCCAGGCACTTATAATGATATACTGGGAAAATCCGTTTGAGTAAAATAAATGTAAAACTGACAAGTTATGACTGTGCAACAGAGAAAAGGCATCTTTGGGTACCATAAAGCAGCCATTCCCCACCTAGTTCCTTCCAGATGTGTTGCTGTTCAACTCCCATCAGTTTTACCAAGCATGGACAGTGATTTGGGAGGTGTACATATGCGTGGGGGAGGAAGCTATCAGTGGCTTCTAGCCTTGCTGGCTGAGTGTCACCGCCTTCACCAGAGGTGACTTGCCTGCATGCACCAGTTGCTGAGGAGCTTGGGCAGGTGGAGGTCTTGCACCCATCCTGCTTGAGCAGTCCTGTGGGCAGCTGGCTTGCCACCCTGTTTACAGAATGCTGGATCTTTGGTCTAGCATGGCTTTCTTATGTTCTAGTCCAGAGCTTCTGGATGGCATTAGGTTGGGAAAGTCTGCTTTAAATGGCTCACAGTGAAACCCCAGGCACCTTTTTAATGTGAAAGAAGTACATTGAGTTCAATGGGGCTTACCATCCACAGAGTGTGTAACATAGGGTTGCATCTTATATGCTTGCTTAGAAGTACATCCCACTGATTTCAGGGAAGTTTACTGCCATGTAAGCATGCAATGACTACAGCCTTATTGTGACAAAAACATTTGTGGACTAGCAGCAGCTGCTTCTGTTGTAAGGAGCAGCAGAAGTTTTATTTGAAAAGTCAAATGCCCATTTCTTTAACAGATAGGATGGGTGGATGGCACAGAATATGAATAGCAACTGTTCCCTTACAAGGAGTCTTGTAGCACTTTAAAGACTAGCATATTCATTTTGGCATAGAGTTTTGGGGATGCTGGAACTTGCAGGCTTTCTTGGATGCTTGAAGTGTTAACCTCAGATTGGCAGACATAAATACACTTGCTGGTGGTGAGATGTAGCCCTGTCACTACTTAAAAATAGGCATTTGGGAAACTATTCAGAAGAAGGTTCAGCCTGCTCTCTGTGTCCTCAAAATCCCAAATGGTAAGAATCCTGTGTTGTCTGTTCTGGATTCCAGTTCTGTGTCAGACTAGAGTTTGATGGAAAACTGGGAATGGGTTGTATAGTATGAGAACACGTATGCATTGAAAGGTGTTGTTAAGGAGACATGGACGTGATGGTGTAAGGTTGGGTAGCCAGACGGACAAGAGTTGCACAGAAATGAATGCTCCACAAGAGGCTTCTTGAATCCCTTCAGTGCTATGATGGGAGAGTAAACTACCCATTCTGCAGTTCTGCCACAGAAGTCTGGATCTAACAAATATCTCTGGGCTAACAACTAAGGCGGTCTATGACTGGAAGTGGATTAATCTTGATTATGAAGGCTTGGCAGGTGGAATGGAAACGGCATAAGAAACTGCAGTTTGCTTTTGATGTCACTGACCACAGGCTCTTCTGGTCATTCCTCTCAGGCTGTGTCCAGAAAGCGATGTTGGGGAACTGCTGCTTGGTGCCACAGATGTTGGCCTAGGGTCCCACAGGGTGCTGTTTTGTCCCCTATTTAATATTTACATGAAACTGCCAGGAAGAAACTTAGGGCAATCATTCTTAAAATGTATTATGTTTTTCATTATAGTTTTTCTGAACCTTTTGTAAACTGCTTCTCGATTAGTGCAAAGTTGAAGAATTTGGGGGAACTGGGGTATTTTAGAATTAAAAGCGATAGGTGAGAAGAGGATGTAGTAGGAAGATGCAGAAGTACACAGAAGGCATTGGTGTGTGATAAAAAAAACGAACTTAGTGGTCTGAGACTGTCCTCTAGAATGGCTTATCTAGCCAGTTAGGCAGCCCCACTCCAAGCCTAGAAAACATTAGCCAGGGTTGCTAAGTATTAAGGGACAACTTGTGGTGCATCATGTTGCATTCCACACTTCTGATTTGCTTGTCAGAGAAGCTGGTGGTCGGCATCCAGATCCCTCTGACTGGGATGATGATTTCGTGGCCTGTCCTGGAACTATGTCCCCGGGTGAAATAGTAAGGCTGGACAGTTGGTGCACTCCCAAACATTTCCTTAAGTTTAAAAATCAGTGGCTAATAGTTCATAGCTACAGTGCCCATAAATTACCTGGGTTAAAGTCAACTGATATGAATTCCGCCTTACAAGTTTTCTTTCTGACACAGGGCTAGCAATCTGTGGGTAGAGACTGATAATTTCTGATATGTATAATGGCTTGTGCACTGCAGGAAGAAAATGTTACAGTGATACTAGTAGGTTCTCACTCTAGCTGTAAACACTTGTACATGCATCTCAGCCCATACATTACTTACTGCTATACCAGTGACATGTGCTTATTATAGTTCTCTTAGCTTAGTCTTGGAATTATGCTGAAAATTTGCACAAAATCCTAAAGCTGGAAGGAGCAATTTCTGCCTAGTGTGGTGTAAAGCAGCCCTGGCTGCCTGCTCTTTACTTGGCTATTTCAAGTGGTGGGAAGACATCTCCTATTGTCTAAGAGACATTTATATATTCGTTCGTTCGTTCGTTCAGCTTATATGTTGCAATTAAATTAGTCTCAAGGACTAAGCAGATTACAAAAACACCAATTAAAACAACATCTCATAGTAAAACATAACAATACACAATATGCTGCTGAGGGGTGAGATATATTAAAATAGTATATTAAACTAAAGTGCAATATAAAACAGTACAATTAAAAAGGAACAATATAAAATCATTATTAAAATGTCTAGAAAATAGGATCATTTTGGCCTGGTGCTGAAAAGATTGTAATGATGGCACCAGACAAATGGCTTTCAGAAGGCCAGTCCATATAGGGAGTGCAACCACTGAGAAGGCCCGTCTTATGTTTGCTATCCTTCTTACTTCCTTGGAGGATGGCTCTCTCAGAAGGGCCTCCTCACCCTCTCCTTAGGGACCGGGCAAACCTACCTGGAATATTGTGATATTTTGCCTGATGTCCAGCCAAAATCTGCTTTCCTATAACTTGGACACCCACCTCCCCCACCAATTTCAGGTCTTGCAATCCTGGATAATAAGAGAACAGATTGTGTCCAGTGGCTAATAGCATTTGCTGGGGCCAGAGATTGATTGATTGATTAATTAATTACAAACATTTGTATCCCATCCTTCCACACAAGCGCTCAGGACAGCTTACAGGTTGTCTAAGGATTCCCTTGAAACTGATGAGCTTAATCAAGGTGGGGAAACTGGTGTGTCTCTCCACCCCCATGAAGTTGGACTACAGCTCCTATCAACTGCAGCCAGCATAGCCATTGGTCAGGGACAGTTGGGCACTGGAGTCCAACAGCTGTGGACTTGGCCTGTCCCTGAGCTAAATGAACATGCCACCTTGGATCGAATTCTTGGAGAGCTATCAGTGACTGTTTCATTGGTAAAGACTGGGCTCTATTGCTGAATGCATTTATTCATTAAAGCAAGCTTTGACAATCAGATTAATGCATCCCAAGTGAGCCTTAGCCAGTATGGCCCATGGTTAAGTAGGCTGGGAGCGGAAGTCCAAAACATCTGGAGGGACATGGGTAGGGGCAGACTGCTGTGTGGGAACAAGCATGAGGTGACCTCACATAGCGGATCCTATGAAAACCCAATAGTGTGGTCCTTTTCTGGGTTCTGCAGCTATAGCAAAGGAAATCAAAATTTAACCAGCATGTCTTTATGTTACAGATCGTTCCTATATGAGATTAACAGAAAAGGAAGATGAAAGCTTGCCAGTAGATGTAAGTTGTATGTTCTTTCTGCTCCAGTGGTGCAAGTGCAGGCTTGCCAGTGACATGTTTGCATTTAAACTCGTTTATTTGTAATAAAGTCACTGGAAGCGCAAACTGCATTCAGAACAAATCAGCCAACTTGATTGGCTTGTGGATACTGCCCTCTATTGCTTGACCTCTGGCTTCTGGTTCTTCACTGTTCCCACAAACTGACTTTGAGCCCGGGTGCCCTCCATGCTCCTTCCCATAATCTAGTATTCCAAATCTCCACCCCTAGCAAGGCAGCCATTGCAGTGCACCTAAGATTAAAATGTCCTGAATTTGGCGTCTCTCAGCCTTGCTTAGAAGCATCCCTCCAGGAATTCCCCACTCTCTTCAGTCAGTACTCGGAAAACTTTTGTCTTTCCTCCTCTTTGCCAAGTATTTTCTTTGTGTGATATTTACTACTCTACCCTACTGTGCACTTCCTTCTAAGTGTTGGTTCCCAGGTTTTTGATTTCTTCTATGTTTGAGTGATCAAAGCGTGCTCAGAATGTTTTGGATGTCTTTGATACAGAAACTAGTATTTTCATAGTATCAGCACAATGCATGCCATCCAGTCATTTTTCCATACTATTGAACCTTGGAGGATAGTCCTGATTGAGACACAATGCTAGTGTTCATATACCTGTTCAGCTGCATGAAAAACCTAATGAAATGTTTACAAGCAGGGCTAAATCCACTGCCCTGCACATTTCTGAAAGCCTTTGGAGTTTCCAGCATGAAAAGTTCAGTAGACATTCATGTTAAACCCAAACAAGAGATGAGGATTCTTGCAGAAGTTTGTACTTAAGACACTGAAGTATGGCATTCTTTTTCCTTAATTTGTTATACAGATAGTTCTTCAAACGCTGTTGGCCTTTGCAGTTACCTGTTACGGGATAGTGCATATTGCAGGAGAATTCAAAGACATGGATGCCACATCAGAGCTAAAAAATAAGTAAGTCTGTACTGTTGCCCCACACCTGTACTGCTTGCCTTGCTGCCTTGCTTTCTGTTCTCCCCACCCCTCCACCCCACCTCCCCTTGAGGAAGGACCCTTTTCTTCCGTTGCTGCTGTTGCTTGTCACTGCGTGGTGCTGTTAGAGTGAGAAGCTTCAGCCCACCCCATTTCCCCCTCACAGACCCAGAGTTACAAGAACTTGTCCTTTGCAGGCTGCCGTGCTAGGATAAATCTACCTACAGCTATGGGCCCCGATGGCTATGCTAAGCCTCTGTGCTGCGTTTGGGGGCTTTGCATGCTAGTTGCTAGAAGAGCGGTGCACGAGAGGGCTGCGGTCTTTGTTTGTTTGTTTGTTTAAAACATTTTTATGCCGCCCCCATCGCAACAAAGCCTCGGGGCGGCTCACAAAGAATACATAAAAGCATGCATAAATAATGACAATATAACAATGGGGAAAAAAGTCTTCCTGCCTGTTCCCTGCTCCTGGATTTCCCCAAAACCACTCGTTGGCTTCTGTGGGAAGTAGGACCCCAGATTAGTTGGCTGTGTGGGCTGGAGGGCTGCTTCTGTGATGACAGGACCAGGGGCATCTTTGCTCAGGAAGGAGTAAGGCTATTGTGTGACAACTAGCTCTGGGATTTGAGACATCCTGAGCGTGCTGGTGCCCCACCTGGCTTTGGCCATGGCAGCCCTGTACCTAAGTTGATAACACAGCCATTTCTTTAGAAGCATCTTTGGTGTAACAGCACCATTCCCTTCCTCACCTGTAAGCTCTCTGCACTGTTCCTTTCCAGTACTTCTGCTGCTTCTGCTACTGTTTGAAGGGAGGGTATGAAGTTATGATGTAACTTGATAATGTGTGGCAAGTCCTCAAAGCAACGGTATGGAATATTTCGGGTATGACAGTTCAGCATGGTTTGAATCTGAAATCCACTATTTCCAGGATGAACTGACAGCCGATGAATTGTTATGGCTCGGGATTAATTGCACTCTCCCTTTTTCTTTCTGCTGAAGGACATTTGACACATTAAGGAACCATCCATCTTTTTATGTATTTAATCACCGGGGCAGAGTATTATTTCAGTCCCCGGATGCTGCCCATTCTTCGTCCAACCAGGCTGCTTTGTTGTCCAGCGCATCACTGAAGTTGCGAAAACTTGAACCTCTCCGCCATTAAAAGATTTTTACAGATCATTCTAAAAATAGAACAGGACACTGAACTATAATATTGGAGTTGGGGATGTAAACACTTTTTTAATTTCTGGAGCAGTATTTATATTGATCTTCCAGACTTTATTTTATATATATATATATATATGGTTGCGTGCGTGCGCGCGCGCGCGTGTGTGTGTGTGTGTGTGTGTATATATATATATATAATATTAAAAAGGACCTTCTCTGTACACTAATGACAATGACTGAATTGTGAATTGGCAAACAGTGTAAATTCCTGCTAGAATTATGCTGTGAAACATGCATTTTACTTTTCATCCCTTAAAATGCTCTGCGGTTGATTAATGTAAAACAAATTCTGTATTACCAAAAAAGCAGATGATGGTTTTAATGCAATAGATAAGCACAGAAGAGGGTATTGCTTGCACTGTATTGTTGTATGCTGAGGAAGTGGCTGGAGTTGCTTTGTAACTGTCCTTCCACACTCCCCCCACCCCTTTCCAGCCCTTGAGAGAAGACACGGATGATTGTTGTATTCATGTCTTGGGCACTGTGTGTGGAAGCAGTGTGACCATTCCATGAAGCCGTCTGGACGGCAAATAGCAGTGCCATTCAGTTAGACACAAGTTTTCAGTGGGAAATGAACCAAAATGTTGCCAGGAATGCCAGTTCCCTTCATCTTTGGTCAGTGTCCTTCCAGCAGTCCAGAATGGCTCACAACTTTTGAAGAGAACCATTTTTGAGAGAAAAATGTAATGACTGCGAAGTTTAATCAGCCAGTGGGAAGGAGTGTTGAATCATAATCCCATGTATTGCATCAAGTGCTCCCCACTGAAAACTTGCTGTCATTACCCACTGTGGATTGTCGTTGAAAGTAAAGCTAGCGTGTCCTAGTACTGGACTCATTTGTGAAACCGGGATTATGGCTATAAAACTAAGGCATGCTGCATACCGAAGGTCTGTCTGGGAGAGGTGGGACTGCTGAAGGCGTGAATGGCATGTAGCAGGACAGGTATGCTCAAGGGCTGCTTCTGATGGCCATCCTAGGATGCTAGATGGATGTTCCCTTCTTTTGATGTTCATCTCTCGACTTTCTGCTATAATGGGTGCATGTTGATTCCACTCCCTCCATGTATATGTATGCTCTCTTACTGGAAAGATGGGAGAATGTTTGGTTCAGACATGGGAGAGTGGCTGCGTTGTTTGAGTAATTTAATATGTTCGACGTGTTTTTCCACTGTGCTCAGTTGCTCTTCTTGCGAGTGGCATTTGATCACCCGAAGAGATTTCGTCCAAATCATCTGCCCAGAGGGTGTGGGCTGTTTGGGTGGAGGGGATGCATTCCCTTGCATTGGATAAATGCACGCCCCCAAAGGGGATTTTCAAGGAACGTGCCTGACCCTCTGCATCTTCAGGGGGCTCTTTGCACACCACACTTTCCTACAGGAGCAGTTCCTGCAATGGGGGAATTTGCAGCATCCGTTCGTCAAGTGTGCTTTTGGGGTCAGTTGAGCATCTGCTGCTGATGGGCTAGTGTTCCTGGAGCAACAGGAGGCACATGTGCCATGCTCCAGAAGGCCTATTTTACTGGCAGCCTTCCCATTCTGCTGCCCTTCAGTTTTTGACTACTATTCCCAACATCCCCAGACAGCATGTTTGGTGAAGGCTGCTGTGTTTTTCTGCAAGGAAAACCCTGCAGAGTTGCCCTAACCAAAGAACTAGGTGGCTGGAGTTTGAATGTGATGAAGAAGACACGGCCTTTTTGAAAATCTGATAATGGCTTTTGTTCATTAGAAGTTAGATTTGGTGTTACGGTCCTTTTCTTGAGTAGACCCTTCTTGCTTTGTGTTGAGTCCGGGTAGTGTTCTGCCGGTTAGCCATACAGAACCTTACTCCTACCAGCCTTATTCTCCAGTTTATGCTAGAATGCAGCTGCTGTAGAAGCTATAAAGTGTTGGGCCTACCGACTTTGAATATTTCTTTTAAGCTATTGAGGGTCTCCTTCAAGCATTCTCCAGAATCGTGACTCTGGAAGAGTTGCAGCTAGGTTGTCCTTACTCGGCAGTCATGTTTCTGAGCCACCCCTCTCTGTGCTGGGTTGCATAAAGTAAGAAAGAGGGCCCTGTACTAGAGTCCCTGCGGAGCCCACCACAGAAGTGCACCAAATGGCTGCAAGGACAGCAGCAAAATCCTTAATGGGTTGCCTTGGAAAGAAGTCCCCGCAATTAAGTGGAATTTTTGCTAGTGACCATTTAAGGTTACAGCCACCATCAAACTCCTAAACTGTTAAAGGCAAACTTAATAGAAACACTAAAAAAAAAAAAATAGACCAGTGATTAGCTAGTGGCACAAGGGCAATAGAAAGGCTGAGAAAATGAGACTTCTGAAATTCAATTTGCCCATTCTGAGTTTGCTTTTCAGTACCACTTTGTATGCAAGTCATTTCAAGCTAGGTTACTTATTAAACGGTTACTGAGGAGCCTAGGCAAAACCTGCATTGGGTTGCCAAAAAGGGTCCATTGTGGCAAATGCTGCTGCCAGGAATGGAGTCTTGCTCCAAAACCCAAAGGCCTTTTCCTCTTGAATGCATTGTGAAGTTTGCAGCCCATTAAAGCACTTGGGCTGTTTACAATCTTGCAAGAAGCAGCCAGTTACCCGTTATCATTGATAGTTATTTCACAAGTGTGCAAACTTTGTTTTCCCTTTTTGATCTTGCAATGTCTAATAAAACCTACTACTACAAAGCACAGGAGTTGTGAGTTATTTCTGCAGAACCTGTGTAAGCTAATGAAGAGAACAGACTATTTTCCTGAATTGAAGGGAAAGCTTCCTGACTTTATAAAATCCTTCAACTTACTGAATATATTTGATGGATGTTGCTGCACTTTCTTATTTTGCTTAATAATTGACAGAGCCTTGCTTTGGTTTCCAGAGGAAAGTCCTAAAAGGAACTTGTGGCATAGCTCTAGGTATAAGCGTGTTTGGCCTGTTCCACTGTAGAGGAAGGTTATGAGGCTGAATTCATTGGAAAATTCTGCTCTTTGAAAAGCATTGTGAAAGCCTTGTTCTCTCACCTGGGCATTTTCCCCCATGACCTTGCATAGAACTTGCTTACAGTAATTTAGGGTTACTGTTAAAAGGATGGCGGCAGCACATGGGATGTCGTGGAACATTGCTACTCCCCAGTTCTCACAGTTAAGTCCCTTCTGTAATTCATGAAAACATTGGATTCGCCTTAAGCAGTTGGGCAAATGCTCATCATGGGCTTTCAATGACAAAGCTGCTCTGTCCTGAACCCTGATCCAAGAAACTGGGACTCAGTGGCAAGATGACATGCCAAAGCCTTTAAAAAAAACTGCTTCCCTAGGTTAGTTCAACAGCCACCTTTAGAGTTCTGCCAAGTTTTCAACAGCTTTGCCTCTTACAATCCAGGAGTCCCTGATATGTATAGAAGATTGGTGAGAGAAGTGAACTATTCCCAAACACAGATCTTGCTGTAGGTGCTCTGCATGGAATTGTTTGGTCCCATTTGTAAGATTCAGAGCCTGAGGTTGACGTTTTTACTGTAGTGGCCACTTTGTTTGAAAGACCACAGATTTCCAAACAAAAATAAACGTCAGGTGGCAAAATCAGGCAGCAAACTGCAAACATCTGACAGGAGACTAAGTCTACTTGTGAAAGTAAGCTTATGAGCTGGCCTGGAACCCCTTAATTATGTGCCTTGATTCCATCTGTAATCATAAACTAACACTCCATTTCCCTCCCTGAAGAAGGGAGCACAGCAACTGAAGACTACAGTGCAGCAAAACATGAACTGCACAAATTAGGGCTAGGTTTATTTTTAGCATCTGTTAGTGTATCATGCAAGTTTCTTCCACTAGGCCTATAGGGAGCTGTGTTGCTCAAGTCAAGGCTGGCTCTGGCCTGCTATTAGCAACCGTTTTCCAGCTGCAACGGTCTTCTTTGCCAGCACATACAAGATGAACCTGACCAATTAAGTGTACACAGTTCCAGCTCCTAGAATCGTATTTTTACATCCCAAGCCAGCCACCTGCATTTAACAGAGTTATAAACCAGGTGTAGGCGGCATCAGCCCCGCCACTACTGAACTAGGTGCCAAAACTGGGTGGCGAAAGATGGCCTTTTCTTGAAGTTGCACCAACAAATCTGGCTGCAGGGGCAGATGCACCCTGCAATGGAAAACCAAGCAGCAGGACAGCTTGAAACTATCGGAACTTTCATCAAGGTTTTAATTCTGATGTGCAGATATAAAAGTGGGAATGGTTTTACTAGCGAAAATCCTTTGATAAAAGAATGTTGATCAAGCAGCACTGGAAACATGCATGGGGGGGATCAAGGTTCTCAGCCTTGGGGCCCCTGGGCTTCGACCCTCTGCTTGCCCTTCATTCCCACTGCAGCAGAGACTGGTAAAGGGAACCAAGGCCTGGCAGTTGCAGCGTAGGGCAAATGCCAAAGCCACCCCTAGAAACACACTCTGCATGTCTCAGTATTGTGGCTTCCCCCCTTTGCCTCTGGCGTTTCTCCTCTGTCCAGCAGCTGCTGCCAGCAATGGCCAGCCACCATAAGCGTGCCTATTTGAACCACAAGTTCTAAGTGCTCTCTCTGCATCAAGACCTAGCAATTAAGCTGGTGGTTTGGGACAAATGCGGAGGTTCGCAGCAAGAGCAAGGCCACACCGCGCTGTTTAATAGCAAGCAGCTCGCCAAGAACAGTACTCCTGCTAAACTGCAAGCTTTGCCTCCCCCAAGTGGCTACTTGTCCACTAGTCTAAAACCATCATTCAAGACCTCCCAGGAAGAGGCTTGTGTCCCATTGCTAGCCTTCCCTTGACCCTGCAGGGAAGTTGGCCCCAGCTGAAATGAGGATGCTTCCACCTCAACTTGGTTGCCAAAAGAGCTCCATTTCGCTCTAGTTCCGAGTCTCACTCCCACGGAGCAGAAACAGTGGATAGGACAGACATTTCCCTCATCGAGAGTCAGAAGTACACTGAAGCCAGCTGCTGGTAGTACTGCCTTGCAACACAAGCACAAGGAGCAGCGCCACTTCGGAAGGAGCAGCTTCGAGGAGGAAGGGAGGATCTATTACTGCCTGAACAGTGTCTAGTGGGTTGGATGGCACCTATCCAAGCACAGGCCAGCTCCTGATGGCAAGAAAAAGGGCAATCGGGCACCCTGACGATGGTGAATGCACCGTCTCAGCTCAGCCTGCGCATTTGAAGAAACGGGAAGGAAGTATTAGAGGTCGGCATCATTCCCCTTCTCACTGTTTTTTGTGGTATGCTTATAGACAACTGGGAGGAACAGACATTTTCCAGCAGCACCCCATTCAGGTTAGGCACTTATTAGAAAAATCATAAAATGATTTTTATTATATACAAGTGCTCAAAAAATTCTCTCATATATATATGTATATACACACACACCGTTTGATATATCAAATTAAGGATCTGGTAAACAACAGTGTCCAAAATAATCTCTTTTCATATGAACATTTAAAAAGTAAAATACATACATATATATATATATATATATATATATTTATATATAGATAGACTGCTGGGGGAGGGGATTGTGTTTTTCTGTTTTTTAAACCCAAAGTTTCCTTTAAGCGCTTCCAAAGCCAAGTCCACGTGAAGAGTCTCCGTCCTCCTCACAAGATGAAAGAGAACTGAAGTCTGGACCTGGGGAGCCTCGGGCGCGCTTTCATAATGTCTGCAGACAAAAGAGAAGAGAGGCTGAAGTAGGTTGCTTAGTGGCTACCAGAGACCGTAGTCCCAGGGCTCTTGACAGCTTTTCCTCAACCCAGTTTAGCAGCTCCTTTACTCTCAAATTCAGATTTACCCTGAAAACTTATGCCTGGGTTGGCTAGCAGTTCTCGGGAACTTTCACCTTCGGGTCTGGCGCAACAACATGCACTACCAACACAGAGGGGATCTCCCCCTCTCGCCTCTTTTAGGACAAAAGATCTCTCCAACACCAGTGCAGATACAGATTTGACCTGCTGCTTAAAGCAGCTTTTAAAGTGTCTGAGAACAAAGGTTCAAGTGAGTAAACGCTCATCACCTGCAACAGAGAGCAGCACTGGGTATTTTCTTCAGCCCATTGAGCGGGTCAGGCCCTCCAAAGTGGGGTGGGGAGGGAAGAAGCCACACCTGCAGCAAATCCATCAGGGTCACAGCCCAGTTGCCCACGAAAGAGGTTCGCAAAGGTAAAAACTCCACCCTTCTTCTTAGACTCCAACAGAAAAACCGCCCGACTGCCCGGGTGGCAGGGGCAGCCGCCGCCATGTCCTCTTCCGCTCCTCTGCGACACAGCAAACTCGTTCTCCCTGGCCCGTACATTCGTCTTGCCGGCACACTATTATCTACTGTTGACATGGTTAACTCTGTTGGGCAGGCTGCTGAACTCTATTTCCTCTAGTATTCTCTCTAAGTGCTGAATTAAGACCCGTTTTTTAAACCTAAGAAAAAGAGGGAAGGGGGAGCATTTAATGTGGGTCTGTACTCATCTTCAAACTTTTCCCTCTGAAATATAGTAACATGTGAACAACTCTCTCTCCACTCCTGCACCACACACACACCCACGCACGCGGATGAGATTGACAGACTATTTTCTAGGTTTTCCCCAGAACCAACCATAGGAGGTGTTAAAGACTTTAGAACTTAATGAGAACTTTAGAACTTTGAACTTTAGAACTTTATGTTAAAGACTTGTATCAATTAGGCAGAAGTCTTACCCAGTACCTTTAGTCCATCAGAAAATAAATACAATCCATCTAAGAGGAAATCTACTTACAAAGCTACGCAAAATACTCTGCTTCCTGGGTTGCAACCAAAGAAAATAATCTCGAACAATTGTAACATACATTTAAAAAAAACACAGGTCACCATCTTACACACACACACACACACACACACACACTTCTCTAAACATCTGACAAATCCTCTTGATACAAACCTTGCTGCTTCTTTGATAGCAAATTCAATGAAATATTTTTGAATTTCCACAGGGCCTTGCACTTCTTCAAGGAGAGAGAAGATCTTTTCATAATCTACAATTAAAGAAACGAAGGCAAAGCATTAGATCCTGGCCATCCACACACATAACATGCACCTTTTTCCCTCTTATCCTTGCCTGCCTTTGAGCACCAGCCTTTTCTGACTTTATCATGCCATGCTTCTGACTAGCAATGGGGGGAACCTTTGCCTTTTTCAGACATTCACCATGATTCCAGGCAGGTAAGCCCAGCCTGCCTCCTCTTTCCCGAGTCACAGGAGCCCTTGTCGCTAGACTTGGCAAGAAGAACCAGCTGCTGCCTCAAGTTAAATCTCCAACATAACACTGGAACATCTTTGTCCTCTTCTACTTGCACTGGTTTCCTCCCCTTCCACCTTGGAACTGCATTCTCCCATTAGTTCTATCCCACACCAAATCTAAAAAGATTCTGAACTAGGGAACAATGGAACATAAAAAGAATAAAAATGCCCTATCAGAACATGAAAAGTTACAAAAAGAGAGTGGCAAATAAACCATGGCTAATTGAGCAGGAGGAGCTTCTCAAACTGAAAGGGTCTGGCCAGGTAGGCAAGGGAGATGGTGCTGCTCCCAAGGGGTTTAGGGTTTTGCACTTTAGGTTTTAGCAGCAAAACCTAAAAACTGGCCCAGCAGCAAATAACCCTCCAGCAAAGGAGCGGCTTGCAGGAACAGAGCTGCTGCATTCAGCG